TTTCCCCCTGTTGTCATTGTTCTCCATTTTCATTTTCCTCTTCTGCTGTTCCTACCATGGTACCTGCAGTGTCTCAGTTGTTCCCAAAGCAACGGTGAACTACACCAACGCTGTCTGTGCTCACCACCCACGCATCTCTCTCTCTCTCTATTTCTCTCTCCCTACTTTTAGTATTTCTTTTTAAATAAAAGTCTATCCTCTGTTTTGCCCCCCCCCCCCCCCCTTCTAAGTTGTCATTGTCTTTGATTTTTCACTGAACTTGTGTTATTATTTTTAGATGACCCGTCTTGTGCTACCAAGAATGTGTGAGAGGTGAGTTATATGATGGGGCTTCCATGTTTTGCGACATTACTGCAGTCAAAATATTCCTGTAGTAAATGATGGATGGTGGCACCGAGCTACTCAGGGAATCTTTATATTTAACAACACCCCTCCACCCTTTTTCTTTTAGAACAGTATTTAGGAGATGACTGTAACAAAAGATGGCTTTTTTTAGAGGGGGGGGGGGACAAGAAATCTTCACCTAGCATTTTCCATGACTGCATCTCTTTCCCTCTCCTCCTTTGTTCGCAATGCTGACAAGCTTTCAATTCACACAAAGTGCTCTTCCCACCCGATTGGCTGCTGCGTTCCCATGTGATTCCTGCCAGCCAATGGTAGTGCAGGCACATTTGGTGCCGTGTGAGGCTGGAGCGTCTCCACTACATCACTGCAGCAACCGGCTGCCATGGCAACGCAAACAGCCACTACGTGTGTGTGTGTGTGTGTGTGTTAAGCATGCATAGACACAGGGCTTCCACGGGTAAAAATCTTATTCTGTGGATTTGATGGTTAAAAATAAGGTCTTAAAGTGTAGCCATTGATCTGTGATTAATGTTTCAGGAAAGCTTTTTAATGTAGGATTGTCATGATACTGAAATTCCAGGTTTGACTTAGGCTTTGTTTGCTTGTTTGTTTTGATGTGGCAAATATGCAAGTAAAAATCAACCCTGTAATGTGTAATTTTAAGTGATGATTGTTCCTGGAACTTGATGATCTCTGTGTGCTGTAGCCCAAAAAGAGCCATCTTCATTTCACATACAAAATAACTTCAACATTTACCTTCCTGTGCTTTCCCCAGGTCCAAAGGTGTTATCCTAAACATCTCCTCTGCCAGTGGCATGTACCCATTGCCTCTGCTCACTGTCTACTCTGCAACTAAGGTATGTACAGTGTGTTTGGCACTTCTAAAGAGGCAAGACTTCTTTTCTAGGAAATGAGAAGATGAACACAACCTCTTTTTTTTTTTT